CTCCCCTCAAAAAAAAAAAAAATAAAAAAAATAAAAAAAAATAAATAATAATAAAAAAAAGTAATGGATGATTGATGTCAAGGTGGAGGAGAAGGAGGAAGAAATTATATTTTAGTATGTTTCCTTTTTATTTGGATAGTTTACAAGCAAAATGATACGAAAATAGCGAGCTATCCTTTTTCTCTTATTTGGGAAAAGATAAAAGCGATCAAAAGAAAAACACACACACAAAAAAAAAAAAAAAAAAAGAAAAAAGCCAGACATGCTAAACCACGCTTAGACCATCTAGTTTATTTTAAATTTTCCCATTTTCATCCAGGAAATGCTCTGCATAAATCCAGCTAGAAGAATTTCAGCTCTTGATGCGCTCGCTCATGCATATTTCAAGAATGATGATGGTGATGGTGGTTGTTAATGTACACCTCCTACACCACTAAAACCTACCACTACCACTACACACCTCCACTACTCCTCACCCACTCCACCTACCACCTCCACTATACCTACTACCACCACCCACTCTACACCTACTACTCCCAAAACCTCTCTATATATAGGACTTGTAATATACAGATAAAAACAACAATACAACAATCTTGTAATCAATAATACAATCATATATACAATTCTCTATTTACATTGTTAACTTACATGGTATCAGAGCAAGGTTAACAACTTAGTAATTCCGCTTCACCGGCGGGCGGCAACCTCGCCTTGACCGCCCGCCGGACAAACCCAAATTTCCTTAATTTCTTCTCCAATGGCAGATTCCAGTTCGAAACCATCCCTGATGGCCTCCCTCCTTCAGAAGCAGAGCCTTTCAGTCAGTCAGTCACCGCCGGCCTTCTGGTAAACGTAGGTGAGGCCACACTTGCCACAGTAGTGACGGTCGAAGTGATTGGCCATGAAGGTTCCAGCACCACACTCGGCGTTGGGGCACTCCTTCCAGTTCGAAACCATTCCTGAACCTTGCCGGAGTCATCGACCTTCAGCAGCAGAGACATCCTTGGATTTCACTTCCATGATGCC